ACATATCAGATACTCAAGAAATGTCCATGCCTCCCCACACCCAGCCCACTTCCAGAACTGATCTTCTGCAGATACTGAATTCCTCTAGCCCCTCCAGAAGGCTCTGCCCAACAATGTATCTGAGAATGACTTAAGACTGATACCACATTTGTGAGGTAGACTAAAGGGATGTTCCAAAATCCAAGGACAAGCTTTTCTGACTCACGGATATTGGAGTGATCTGCCTCTTAGAGATGGTGGTGAGTTGCTGGAACTGAAGCTGCAGACTGTGGGAAAATCAAGGAGCCAGGAGATAAGGATCGGGGGGGGGGGGGAGCAGAGAAGAGTGCTTTAGAAGAATTCATCCAAAAGATAGTCTCCTCATGCCTTTAACGGTGGGCCTGGAAGGAAGGAAAGGAAGGACACTGGAAATAAGAGAAGACTGGCAGAAAGTGGTGGTGTACACAGCATGCTCCGGGAAAATGAAGAAGCTGGAATAGACGGTTTGAGATAGATAACCAGCAGGAGGGAAAGCAGGAACGGAATCCTAGAATATCACAGCTGGCCTCAAGCTGCCCTCTACCCGTCCTTAATCAGAAACTCATGCCTACGTGGCAGAAGGACTGCGAGGAGTGGGCCACTGTGGATGGAGTGAGCCCAACCAGGGTGGACAAGGACTTAAGAAAGAAAAGCCAGAGGAGCCTCCAGGTGGGTAGAGCACACCTGGGCAAGAGCTGAGTGAGCAGGAACTCCCCTCTGCTGGTGATCCACAATCTGCAGGATCGGTGGAAATGCTCTGCAGCAGCAAGGACACAGGAAGGGAGGGCTGGGGTGACCGTGTCCAGTGCCGAGCCACACCTACGGGAGAGATGCTGGGTCTCTGGCCTCATTATCCAGTAGTCCTCATGTCAGCCCGCCAAACCAGCAGTTCTTAAAGGACCCTGGACACTCATTGTGATTGAGATCTGCCCCAAAGAACATTTGTTTATCCAGTTATGCCTATTAGTATTCACATTAAAAATTAAAGAGGGGAAAATGTAAATGTTCATTTATTTTACAATAGCAATAATAAATCCTTTTGATGTTAACATCAATAATATTTGTTTTAAAAATTCTTACATAATCCAGAATAACAACAAAAGATAATAGATAAGGTAGCACTGTTTCCCATTTTTTTTAATTTCTTTACTGCTGTTATGTGAATTCTCTAGAAAAACAGAACCAATAAGTCCTGTGTGCACACAGAAGAGAGATTCATCCCAAGCAAATGGCTCAGGAGCTCGTAGAGGCTGGCAAGTCCCCAGTCTGTGGATCAGGTCTCAGGAGAAGGTCCCTATATCTTCCGCATAGGCCACAATCTGGCGAAACACCCTTTCAATTGCTCACAGAAGATTATGGAGGTGATTGTATTATGTGAGCTCTCAAGAAACCCCTACATTACATCAGTTCATCAAGTTAATGACATCAAACTACCAAATCAGAGAACCACAGGCAGCCAAGCTGGCACTCAACCTTAACCATCACCCACTGGTTTAATTGCAGACAGCTGCATCTCCATCTCCTGCATTCAATCTGCTTCAATATCATGCATCAAGGACTGTCTGAAAAAACACCGAATGCTCATAAACAAAAGCGAGAAAGGCAAATTAATGTATTAGTTATGAAAATGGAATTTTTCTAGGTTTTTTAACATTATTTTATTTTAGTTTGCATCCAAAATTTATATACATTGTGTTTCATTCAAATACATTGTGTTTCACACAATCATTCACAATATGTTTCATACATCTGCAGAGGTAATAGTAAGCATAGATCAATGGTGATCGGATTTCTAAAACACAATGTATGTAAATGATCATATGAAGATAATTTTGACCTCATCAACCAACCAATCAGTTCCTGCCAAATTGATTGTGATCCTAAACCTGAGAAATTATCTTTGCCCTAGTGCTCTACCCCGGAAGGTTTGTTACTTTTATCCAGGTAGATGTGTCCTAGGTAAATTGTAAACAACTTGGTTTTGATACACTTTATCTGATCAGTTTGCCTGGGATTGTTAATCACTTTGCAGGGGTTGGCCAATATATTATTCAAATTAGGTGAGTTGTAACCTACTATGCAAATTAAGTGTCTGACCTACCAAGAAAAGATTTGTCTTTTCAGTCCTGGTGGAAGTGCCAGTGCCTTGAAATTGATAAGGAGTTTTACATTTAAGCCACCAGCCCTACAATATGCCGTTTGGAGACCAAAATAAACAAGGAGAAAAGCAACGGGGTGGAGGGGGAAGTAAAATGAGCAATCTAAAGAGGAGCACCTGTTAAAAGAACTGTGAAATGGTTAAGTGCTGGAAAATGAAAGGACAACACTGGCCCTGGAGGGGCTCAGCAGCAGGGCTGGAGGTGGCAGACTACAGGGCTAAGGAGAGTCTGTCCCAGAGGAATCTGTCCTTGGCTGAGAGAAGGTCTGCACAGCAGAAAGAAGGTCCTTAATTCCATGATCAAGAGGTGGCCTGCCATCCAAGAGAAGCTAAGAGAGCTGTCCCACAGTGAAGGGACAGCTTTGCATCCTGATCCTGATCCCATTTGTAGCCTGTTGATCCAATCTCAAGTTATACCCTGCTATTTCCTTAACAACCCACTTAAATGGAAGTACTATCTCTAAGATCTGTGTGGCCTTTGCAACAAATTATTAAATGAAAAGTAGAGAGTGCCCAGAAAGGATGACTAAAAAATTGGTAAAAGTGGAGATAAATGTCTGACTTCCACCTTGTGGAGAGCAGCTATGCTACTCTGATGAGCCGTATATTTGAAGTTATTCATACAATGCTTTAGCATCATCATCTGTAAAATGGGTATTGGCTCCACAGTCAACACTCTTGGCACCAGTAGCCAGGAAATTAAAAGACATATTGCCATGGGAAAGTCTGCTGTTAGGGACCTCTCCAAAGTACTGAAGAGCAATGGTGTCTCTCTGGAGACTAAGGTGCGTCTGATACAGGCCATGGTCTTTGCAGTCACTTGTTATGCATCAGAGAGTTGGACAATGACCAGGGAGGATAGAAGGAGAATTTATGCCTTTGAGCTGTAGTGCTGGAGAAGAGTACTGAGGGAACCATGGACTGCTAGGAAAACAAATAGATTTGTCCTGGAAAGGATTAAACTGGGCGGCTCCTTGGAGGCAAGGATTCTGAGGCTCTTTATAACATACTTTGGACATGTTGTAAGGAGGGACAGGTCCTTGGAGAGGGACATCATGCTTAGTAGGGTGGAGGGACAGCGCAGGAGGGGAAGGCCTTCTATGAGGTGGATTGATTCAGTGACTAGGGTAATTGGGATGGGTGTATGGGAGACAGTGCAACTGATACAGGACAGAGTAGAGTTTAGGGCTGTTGTACATAGGGTCACTATGAGTCACAAGCGACTCGACGGCACATAACAACAACAACCCCACAGTCATTACAGAAGAGAATCTGCATATGAGGCCTCAAGCCCAGAGCCTAATACATAACAGATTTCCTACAAGTGACAGCCAGAAGCCCTGTGCTTACCACACCACTTACCCTGCCCACTCGTGAACCTGAGCATAGCTAACACGAAACAGATTAACATTCTCTTTCCTTCCTGCCTTCAGAAAGCTGGGCAAAGCTGGGTTTTCCAAGAGAACTTTGCTAACAGACCAAGAAAAGATTTGAAATTAGCTTTGCAGAGTTCAGGTTCTTCCTACAACAGTAAACCTCATCAACAACCAGACTCCTACCCAACAGAAAGGCCCTGCCGGGGGACCCTGTCTCAGTCGGAGACCTTCTCCCTATTTGTCCTCTCTCCAGTGGGCTTATAGTGTGCCATTGGGTCAATTCTCTCATAGTCACTACAGGTGACAGAGGGCTTCTCAGTAGGGTTTTCAAGGCAGTAATTGACCTGGTGGTAAAGAGCCACATTACAATCCCAAAAGCATGCAGTTCAAATCCAACAGCTACTCTGTGGGAAGAAGGATGGGCAAGCTCCTCCCATGCTATTAATTGTCTCTGAAAACTTGTTGGAGAGTCAGTCCCAACTCAACAGCAAATAACAAAAATCTTTACCAAAGCAAATAATCAACTCTCTTCTCCCATGGAGGAACTGGTGGGTTTGAACTGCCAACTTTTCAGTTAGCAGCCAAGTAAGTACTTAAACATTGTGCCAAGGTTCAGAAAGAAACAGGGCCTGCCTCTGTCAAGATCTGCAGTAATGAATGTCAGCATAGACACAAGCAGCCCATTCTCCCACCCTGCTGCCTTTAGTAGGGATTCTCCTTGTCCCGGGTACACACAGTGCCCTATCAGTGACCCTCCAAAGACAGTGCTCCACTCCCTCTGAGAGGTGTGGTGGGAGCTGGCCTTGTCCAAGGACTCTTGGGCCTCAGAAGTTCCAGTCCACATATGCTCAGCTTCTCTGCAAAGCAGCCTTGTGGTTCTCTCCACTCCTAGCACCCACCATCCCTCAGGTGCAGAAGGAAAAAGGCAGTGGTGAGCTCTGCAGGTGGGCCTCTGGGTGGCACAAATGGTTAAGCATGCTGGTTTGCACTCACCCAGAAGTGCCTCAGGTGCCTGGTGCTCTGATCCAAAAGGTCACAGTGTTGAAAACACTGAGGAGCACACGATTAATCCGAAATGTATGGGATCACCATGAGTGAGAAGCAAGTGGCAGCAACTGCTCTGGGTCTCCTCTGCTCCCAGCAACTGACTGTGCCTTTAAGAACTGCCACCCTGTGCCAGGGGCTTGACCTCAGCATCCTCAGCTGAGTTGGATTAAGAGACTCTAGTGCCTTTGCAAATTCCTTCTGGTTGCTGTGTCTTTCCCCCCACAACACCCCAGGAGCCTGGAGCCTGAACTGCGAGGGCAGCCACAGAGCTCATCTAGCCTGGAAGCCTTTCCCTCAAGGGTAGAAGCTGGGCCTTGGACAAGAGCTTGGGGTCAGGAAGGGAGCCCTAGGGGTCTTGGGCTGTCAAAGGATCTCTAGAGAGTTCTGTAGAGCCTTTGACCATGAAGGACTACTCAGAGGTCATCCTGTGTGTGGACGCGACAGAGCTGAGTAAGGTAAGGGGCACCCAGGGCTGCTTTCCCAAGGGCCCAGGTACCTGCCTGCTGCTGAGCGCACCATGGACAGTACCCTTCCCTTCCAGACAGAGTTCTGCAATCCTGCTTTCGAACCTGAATCAGGGCCACCATGTCCTCCACTAGCCTTCCAGAAAGATGCCAGCTGCAGCCTCCAAATCCCCTGGCATGGTAACCACCATGAGGTGACCTGGGCAGTAGGGTGGAGAGGCCCAGAGCTAAGGACAGGGTAAGGGCTGTCCACAGAAGGGGTTCTCACGGCCCCTACCCTGCCCGCATACAGGTCGGCGTCCCCAGAGGCTGCAGCCCGACTGCCGCTTCTCCTGGTTCTGCATCCTCCTGCTGGCCGGCCTGCTGCTACTGCTGCTCGGGCTGCTGGTGGCCATCATCCTGGCCCGTAAGTGCTCAGAGCTTGCTGCAAGGGTGAGGGGGAGGTTGCAAAACCCCTCTGTCCCAACCCCTGTCAGATGCCTCTCCACTCCTCTCCATCCTTCTGCCTTCAGAACTGCAGAAAACGCCGCCATCCAAGGCCATTCATAGTCCTCTGCCCACACAAGGCCTCAAGACCACCACTAGGACTCCCCTCACCACCACGACCACCTCTCATGCAACTGGGACCCCTCACCGGAAGCAGGAGGCAGACATGAGCCCTACCTCCCAATCCAGTGAGTACTGTAGGCAAACTATCCTGAGACGGCCCAAGATGGCAGGAGGGAAATGGGGTACCCGGGAAAAGACCCTTTAAAGAAAAGGAGCTCTTTCTGTGACTTCTGAACTCTAACTTCCATTCTTACAGCCTGCGGGGGATTCCTCCCTAGCCCCATGGGCTTCTTCAGCAGTCCTAACTACCCAGACCCTTACCCACCCAACATGCACTGCGTGTGGCACATCCAGGTAGAAGCAGGCCACACGGTACAGCTCAAGATCGACACTCTAAACATGGAGAGTGTGGCTTCCTGTTTTTTCGATCGCTTGGAGATCTCCCCTGAGTCCGAAGGGCCCCTCCTCAGGTGGGTCTCTGCTCCCAGGGCCTCCACCCTCAGCCTCTCTGAAGAGCCAGCATCCTGACGACAGGACCAGGGCAGGCTAGAGAGGAAACCAAAAGCCCCAGGCTCAGCTCTTCCACCACATTCCTGTGTGACCTTGGGAAGGTCATGTCCTCTCCCTGACCTCAGTTTCCTAGTGGCTTAGAGGTAAGGAGTTAGGCACTCACTCAAAGGCAAGCAGTTTGAATCTGCCAAATGCTCCTCAGGAGAAAGATATGCAATCTCCTCCTGAGTGATGTACTGCCTCTGAAAACCCACCGAAGGGTTATGGGTCCATTCTGACTCAATGATACATAACAATAATCTGTAAAATGGCCTTCTACCTGTCTTTCCCATGACTGAAATATAGCATGCACAGCTGTGCAGGGGTCAGAGGTCAATGCTGTCTAGAAAGTCAGTGAGGCCCTTTGATCACATGGTCCCCAGTTCAGGGCTTGAGGAGACAGCACCCAGTGTGCTGACAGGCTCCCCACGGCAGCCCACCCCCATCACACGAAGCCTGGCTTCCTGCAGGGTCTGTGGGAAGGTGCCTCCCCCGACATTCAACACCAATGCCAGCCGCCTGCGTATAGCCTTCGTCTCCGACAGCAGCGTGGAAGGACACGGTTTCCATGCCTGGTACCAGGCTGTGGCCCTGGGACAGTGTGAGTGCTCTCCCACTGCACTGTCACCTCGGTGGCACTATCTTCCCCAGCCCCGTTGGCCCCCACCCCCGGCAGTGGCAAAGGAGTGGAGAATTGGGGTTTCTGAATCCAAATGTCTACCCCAGGGAGCTGTGCCCCTGATGAGTTCACCTGCGACCAGCTCCTCTGCCTACTCCCCAGCTCAGTGTGCGATGGCTTTACCAACTGTGCCGACGGCAGCGACGAAGCCAACTGCAGCATCAGGCTCCCAGGTACGGGCCCTGTCACTAGCAGGCAGGCCGGCACTGCCCTCAGCGCCACATCTCCGCCCCCCAACCTGCATTCCCTGCCTGGTCATCCTCCTGTCCCAGAACCTGTTTCCCCAGGGGCACAGCCAACATTGTCACTCCACAGCCACAGCCAGCCCCAGAGGAGTGGAGGCACAGGCCCTGCAAACACGTGCCCCTCCTCCTCCCACAGGGTGTGGGGGGAATTTGACTGGGCTCTGGGGCACCTTCTCGACTCCCAGTCACCTGCAGCTGTACCTTCCTCCACAGGTAAGTGCAGCGCTCCACGGGGTGGGCTGAGGGCATATATGGCACCTGTCAGACGCCACAGGACAGGACAGGGTTCAGATCTGTTGTTCATAGGGTCGCTGTGAGTCGTACTCAACTCAATGGCACCTCACCACAACAGTGTGACCGGGGAACAGCATGGCAGACACTGCCTTGATCACGTGGATGGGAAGGAAAGATCACGGGTTCTGGTGGCTCAGTGATAAAACTCCCTCCCATGCAAAAGAGCTGGGTCCCGCCTCCAGGCAAAGCCCCTCGGGCACACCTGTCCCCACAGGCTCCAGTGTCACTACAATGCTAAACAGCTTTCAGCAGAGCTGTCACACTAACGTGCACTAGAGAGAAAAACCTGGATGTCTCATTGTGAAAATCAGCCAATGGCAGTAATGATCTGATCTGAAACCAATCCCGGGGCTGGCCTGGGACCCAGCAGCCTTTCATTCCACTGTGCGCAGGGCTGCCACGAGCCGGTGTGCCCACTGTGCTGAAGGCAGTGCCAAGGCGCCCTGCAATGCCAAGTCCCGAGGTGCACAGATGTCTGTGTGGAGCAGCCCTACCCCTGAGACTAGACAAGTTAAAAAAAAAGTCCTTCTGACCTTAAGAGGCACGGATGATGAGCTGGGTGGGCAGCATCCACCCACTCGCTGCCTGGTCTGCCGAGGGAGAGGGCCTCCTCTAGACCTCAGCCCAGGTGCACACCCAAGATTGTGCCCACAAATTCTTCCACCTGTGCCCCACCCCCAGCTTTGCACGTGGCATGTCTCTGTGCCTACTGGACACGGCATACAACTGCAGTTCCACAACTTCAGCCTAGAGGCGCAGGACGAGTGCAAGCTTGACTACGTGGAAGTGTACGAGGCCAGAAACTCCAGGACCCTCAGCCTCCTGGGCAGGTACAGACGGAGACAGGGAGAGGAGCCCACATGTCACAGGCTTGAGAGTGTGGCCCCAAGGCTCTGCATGCACGGACCCCAGCATCTTCATTTTCTTCTGTTGCTCCAAACCTGAAATGTGTCCACTGTTGCTCTCAAAAGGGCTTTCACTCTCCCACCTCAAAACTCTGGCTCTTGCAATTCCTCCATCCTCAGTCCTCCCCTAACCCAGTTCTTCCCACCCTGCAGGGTCCACTTTCACCTCCCTATGAACCCTCACTGACCGTTCCCATCTTCAAGTGGCCAAGTTCAAGTTGTTTAACACTTTGCTGACTATGTGTGTCTTCCTAACCAGACCCTAAGTTTCATGAATCAGCAACTGTTTCTCCACACAGCTGGCACCCCCAGAGCACTCAGCCCAGAACCTCACAGGAGGCATGGGCCTACAGTAGGCTCGAGTGTACCCTCATTGCCCAGGAGGCCCTGTACCCAGGACCATTCTCTGCTTTGCACAGGTTCTGTGGAGCAGAGACGCCCCCTCGTCTCATTTCCTCTCACCATGCACTGGCTGTGCTCTTCAGGACAGATCATGGTGGCATCAACAGCGGCAGCTTCTCAGCCACCTTCCAGGCTCTTAATACCACAGAGAGTAGGTGGCCCTGGGCAAGAGGGAGTGGACAGCACCAGGGGATTGGGAAGGACTCTGATGGGGGGGGGGGGCTGGGGGCTTACCTTCACACTCCCTGTACTGCAGACCACTGTGGGCCCAGAGAGTTCTCTTGCCAGGATGGAAGGTGTAAGGATCTACAGTGGCTGTGTGACATGTGGAGAGACTGTGCAGAGGGCAGCGACAACTGCAGTCACCCCTGGTTCCCACGCCTAGGTGAGAAATCTGCCCTGCGTACCCTGGGCAGGGCCTGGCTGGGCTGAGAATCCTGGTCTGCCTGTCTTATAGAAACTTGCTGGCACATATCATCCCATCCATCCACCCAGATTTCAGGGAAGTGGGTGGCTGGTTGGGCTCGCTACCCTGCTCCTGGGCCACACGACAGAATCCTAGAGGGACTCTCACCTGAGGCCTATGTGATAGTGGCAGTGGTCTTGGTGTCACTAAGGAATCTAGAAGTAGATGTTTAGGGATTAAAAATGCCACCCTGCTCAGTCACACCTCAATACTGCTGCTCCTACAATCCTCCATCCTCAATCCTCCCCTAACCCAGTTTTTCCCACCCCACAGGGCCCACTTCCACCTCCCCGTGAACCCTCACTGACCATTCCCATCTTCAAGTGGCCAAGTTCAAGTTGTTTAACACTTTGCTGACTATGTGTGCCTTCCTAACCAGACCTTGAGTTTCATAAATCAGCAACTGTGTCTCTCCACACAGCTGGCACCCCCAGAGCACTCAGCCCAGCACCTCACAGGAGGCATGGGCCTACAGTAGGCTCGAGTGCACCCTCGTTGCCCAGTTGTTGTTTTTTCTCATCTCAAAAGATGAAGGCAAGAGCTTACAGAAGGAATAGGGATGTTTCTTTCAGATGCTGGAGCAATCCCGGCAAATGATGATGCTCCAATACTAAGACCAAGGAGGTACCCTCACGATGCTCTGAGGTGAAGGACAGTAGGACTTTCCCTGTTGTCTCCTTTGATTCTCACAATTTCCTCCTGACCCCTACAGAAATGGCTCAGAAGGGTGAGGTGAGTTGCATTGCCTCACTCAGGTCAGAAAATGTGTATCCTCTAGTGACCCAATCCTCCCCCACAGAGCTGGCCTGCGAGCCTGTCCAGGTGGAAATGTGCATCGGCCTGAGCTACAACACCACGGCCTTCCCTAACATCTGGGTGGGCATGGCCACTCAGGAGGAGGTAGTGGAGGTCCTCAGAGGCTACAAGGTACTCTAGACAGAGGAGGGACCTGGGAGGGACAAGGAGCCCATGGAATAGGAACTGAGTGGTCTCCTTCCACAGAGCCTGACAAGCCTGCCCTGCTACCAGAACTTCCGGAGGCTCCTCTGTGGGCTCCTTGTGCCTCACTGCACCCCGCTGGGCAGTGTCCTTCTTCCCTGCCGCTCTGTCTGCCAGGAAGCAGAGCACCAATGCCAGTCTGGCCTGGCACTACTGGGCACCCCCTGGCCCTTCAACTGCAACAGACTGCCTGAAGCAGCTGGCCAGGAGGCATGTGTCCAGCCCTGACCCTGCAGTCAGGCCCTGCCCTCTGTCTGCCCTTCTTTGGATACGAAGGCAGGCCATCTGGACCAAAAATGGGGAACAACACAGGGCTCTCCCCACAAAGGAAAAGAGCCTTCAATTCCTCATATCCCACGTCCAGTCTCAGGCCCCTCCTTTGTTCCTCTTACTCTAGCTGCCCCTGGCAGCTGGCCTGGCTCCATTCTGCAAATAGTTAGCTCCATCCAGTCTCTGACCTATGATTTCTACCATTTGCCTTCTACCACCTCCCCACACTCCATCAATCCTTTTCTCTCCTGTATTCAACAAAAATGCACCCGGTGCCTTCTCTGTGGCAGACCTTGTCCTAGGCTGTGAGGATCCAGCTGTTTGCCTATAGCCCTTCCACTCTTAGTTCATTGCTATCTTTCTCCTCACTGGACCTCCTTGGTCCCTATTTCTGCAGGAAGATGAAAGATGAGGCCTGAAGGGGAAAAAGAATCTCTGAACACCAGTTGCGTTAGAGGAAGAGACTTTTATTGCCAGCGAACCTATGGCAGACTAATGTCTTAAAAACGAAGCAGCCTTTGTCTGTACTTTTTATAAGATTACATAGGACTGAATGGGGGGCAATCACCATGTCACCTTTCCATTGGTGGTCCCTGGTTGAACAGATTTTACAAAGGCAGGAAATGTTAGTTTGTGTAACCTGAGCCTCAAGATCTTATGGGCACAGGCACCCCTCCCTCATTCCCCCTTTGAGACTCCCTAACAATAGTTATGAGGAGTCTCACAATTTGCTTGCTTCTGCAAAAGCTGATAGTGCCTCACATAAAACATATGTGATACTCTTTTTTGGCTGAAAATTGTGTCGACGGTGGAAGGTGTAGCTCTGGCTGCTACCGGGAGAAGACGTGAAATAATTAAGCAAAACCTAAACATGAGTACAACTCCTATTGTCTTGAATCCCCCAAGGGTGAAAAATCATCCTATCCTCCCCACAGATTTTGGGGGCTCCACTCATTGCAGATTTGTACAGGGACAAGAACAATGTCCTGGATTTGTCTAGCAATTTCACTGATTACCTTCCCTGTATCATCTATTTCTAGGCCATAATTAGTTCGGTTGAATTTTCCACACACTTCAACTTTTCATGCCAATGTGTAATCTAAGGCAAACCTGTTTTGATAAATTGCATTTATTTTAGTCTCTGCCTGTCTCATCTGGGATGATCTCAATTGCTTGGAGCTGAATTAGGCAGCTCAGCATGTAAATGGTGGTTCAATATCCCCATAACACATTGTTCGCCCATGTGGCTGGCCCAGAATACGGAATTATTCTTTCTGGAGGCCACTCATTGTCTTTCCAATTCCTAATTTGTGTGGCTTGCTTACTGCTAGAATTGGAAGAATATACAGGTTTTCGCCTTGCTTGAGTGGCGATAGAAGGAGTTTTTTCCAGGAGAAACCAGCCCACTGGTCAAGTATCTGGGACTAGCCCTATTCCCACAGATCCAGTAAAGACCTAGATGGGCCTCTATATTATTCCAACTGTCATTTAAGGGGAGGCAAGTGTGAAGAGGATTCTTTTCAGATCAGGCATTTCCTCACCATTCACTGGTTTTTGACGTTTCATTATTTTTTTGTCCTAAAAAGTTAGATTGACCCAATGGGATGGTAAAGTTTGCTCCCCATCACTTCATACAGTGTCAACCAATAATACTGGTCTGCAGAATCCTGATACAGTGGGAGCTTGGGCTGGGGGAGACAGGGGGTGGGGCTTTTGCTCCTTATCCTCAAACATCTGGATCTATTTCTTGGGCTACCCAGGGCCACTGCTCCCCTATTTGAGTACATCCACACACAAAGCAAGGGGTTACATTTAGGGTCCTGGTGATACTTCCTGTCAGCCCTATGAAAAGGTTCTCAGTGGACCATGGAACTTCAGAAAACAATTGGAAAGCCTTATTTTGGGTGACACTAGATCTATGCCTTAATGATAATGGCAATGTCAGGGTCCATCCCTTTTCCATCAATCCCCAGAAATGCTTGCATCCCTTCCTGTCACTGTGGGGTTTGAGGCTGAGTGATGGTCAATTCTAAGGGATTGTACTAATAATGGGTTTGGCATTCAGACTTGGCTATCCATTTTTAAATGTTATTATTTGATTGTTTTTGCCAGGTGGCCCATCTGATACAGTTCCAATAGGCACAAGAGGCATCAATATTGGATTCCCACCCCTAGTTGTCAACAAAGTTCTCAGTCCTGCCCATATTGGCTTCCCCTCCCCCAAGGTCCCAACTCACATCAGTTCTCCAGTTCAGCCATAGGTGTTGCTGCTATAGATGTCGCTGGAGCAAGAAGGATGTCCTAAATTCTCTTCCTTCTCAATGGCACCAGAAGATGGGTCAGCCTCTTGCTACTGGCTTGCTCAATTCAATGGTGAGACTAGCCAATTCCCTTATGGAATGGTAGATAGCTAAGCCCCTTGTGGATAGGCTAACATTCCACATTCTCACATTCCCCACCCAGCTACATAGCAAAGTCAAATAATGACTAGAAAAAGTCATACTGAAAGACAAACTCCACACAGCCTCCACGAACTTCACAAAAGGTCTTTTTTCTTTAGCATGTGGCTTCTCTCCCAGTTGAGTGAGCTACATGTTAAGCGCTCCCGAGGTATAACTAACGGCTCAACAAGCATCAAGTTTTAATGTTGTCTGATTGGGGTTTCCTTTTATCTTGGTTTGAGCAATAAGGGGGAGGGAGGGAGTGCTGAAAGTTGTTGCTTTCCAAGCTCTAATTTAAAAAACAGTGAGGGTAGCAGGCTCAGTTGGGTCATAACAAATATGTGTTCCCTCTGGAGTGGTGCTTAAGAACTGGGCAGAGTTAAAAACATTTTCCTACATGGGTGCAATCACAACAGAAGTATCTATAAAACAGCATAGTTCTGGTGGTGGTGCAGCCAGCCTAAGTGGCCTGGATACACATACCACAGTCACCATCTTCTTTTTCTGCAGCAACTAGCTGGGCCATCAGGCTTCCACCTTGCGTGGACTAGCTAGCTGGAAGTCTGTAGCTGGCATGCTGGCTGTCTCCGCATCTCTTGCAGGGGTTGGCAGAATCTGTCTCAGCTATTCACTGAGGTGTGGCTCTCTTCAATCATTACCACTGGTGCAGTCAAAATGATGAAGGGACCATTCCACCTGAGTTAGGAGTGAAACTCCCTCAGGAGTCAGACTCCAGTCTTTAACCTAAACTTGGTCTCCTTGAAAAAAGGGTAAATAAGTACAAAAAGCCTAACTGAGGATCTATCAACTACCTATGTAGAAATTCCCTAGCTACCTTTCCTAGAACCTTCAATGGCATGTGCAGTTCTGTTTCTCCCAACTCTCTGCGAGTTCATGATAAATGGCAGAGAATAGGTGGGAGCCTAGTATACATAATTTCATAAGGGGAATAAGTTCCAGATCCTTTAAAGGGGGTGCACCTGACCTTGAACAAAACTAGTGACAGGACTTGGACCCAATTGAGCTTTGCCTTCTGACATAAATAGCTGATTCCTGTTTTTAAGAGTCCATTTAATGCACTCTACCCCATCTGAGCGGACTATAGGCCACATGCAGTTTCCAGGTTACACTTAAGACTTTGGCCATCATTTGCACTACTTCTACTATGAAGTCAGTCTGTTGTCCAACCCAATCTGAAGTGGTAGTCCAAACCTCAGGATAATTTCTCTGAGTAATCCTTCCTCCTGGTATATTCTTTACCCTTCTGCATTTTCTGCTTTTTTCTTGTGTCATCCATGTCTTTTCCTGCAGAGTAAACAGGGGTCAGGTAGGGAGCCAAGAAATTAAGGGGCTGTGACAGCTGCCTGATGGGGACTGCTCCTGTTCTTTTGGCTCCAACACCTGCTTTTATGTTTTCCTGTGTTTTTGAGGTATACATTATCTAATGCTCCTGGCAATGGATGACTACTACCCTTTTGGGCTTCCATACAGCCTCCAGAAGCTGTAGATTTCCTCTGGATATTTTAAATCTTTTCCACTTAGCGCTAAAAGTTGTCTTTCTTTATATATGGTACCATGAACATGCAGCATAAGAAATGCAAATTTGGAGTCTTGTGTAAATGTTCATGCATTTTCCTGTGCTGAATTCTAAGGAACAGGTTAGCACTACCAGGGTTGGGGTAAGCGTAAGTCCAAGTGACCCTCATTGAAACATGAGATGGTGTCCCACAGCTTTCCTAATAAGTTTCACCCCAGTAGCAGGACCAGGCAGTAGGGAACATACAGGATCTGGTGCAACAAGATGCTTCTGATAGAGCATTTTCTGGGCAGAGTCAGAGCCTCAGTTTATGTTCATTTGCAGGGAGGAGATGGGGACCATGGGGCAAGTGACAAAATGTTTGGTTCCAGTGTCAACAAGGAAATCTATCTTTTGTCCCTCTACTCAGACCATGGGGTCAGTGAGGGCCCTGATGCCCAGTCGGCTTCAGTCCTCAAAGAAAAAGTCCCATGCCAGGCTGATCACTGAGGCATATTTTTCGGGCCCTAATTTTTGTAGAGCTGTTGAGTCTGGCCACTTGAGGGGACACTCGTTTTTCCAGTGGCCCATTTCCCAACAGTTGGCACACTGGTTGCGCTGTAAGGAAGGTCGAGTTGATCTTGCCCTTCCCCCAGGTCGGTTGGGTGCAGGACTTCCACCCTGTCCCAAGGCTTGAGATATGGCAGCTATAATAAGGTCGACTTGCTCTTTCTTTTTTCTATATGCTTCCCTTTTCCCCTCTATTTCTCTATTTAAAAACACTTTGTTGGCTACCTCCAGAAGCGTGGAAACATTCAGGTCAGGAAAATCGTCTAGTTTCTGGAGTTTGTGTCTGATGTCACCTGTGCTCTGGTTTACAAAGGTAAGGTTCACCATCATTTGATTTTCCTGGCTCTCTGGATCGAAAGGAGTGTACATTCGGAACGCCTCACACAATCTTTCATAGAACTCTCCAGGGGTCTCATCTGCCTTCTGCAGAACCTGGGCGACCTTCCTCATGTTAGTAGCCTTTCGACCCCCTTTTCTGAGCCCTTGGAGAATGGCGTCTCTGTATACTCTTAGCTGTCTCATTTCATCCCTGTTATCTGGATCCCACTGTGGATCCTCCTTGGGCAAGGAGTTCTGGGCATAGGCTGTGGGGTCCACAGTAGTTAGGGGTGCATTTTCCTCCAGCCATGTGGTCGCAGCCTCAAACACTCGGCTTCTCTCTGTCTCACTGAATAATATGAGAAGAAGCAAGCGGCACTCGGCCCACGTGGGATTGTGGGTCTGAAATATGGACTCCATTAAGTCAGTGAGTGCTTGGGGCTTCTCCGTGTAGGAGGGAATACGGAGCTTCCAATTGATAAGGTCAACTGAGGTTATAGGTTGAAACACTATCATGCGGTGGCCCTTAGAGACTGGGCCCTCTAGGTCACCTGTTCCTACACCTCTGACCTCCCTCTGCATCATCTGAGGAGGGTTGGGGGTGTCCGGACTGGGTACCGCAGGCTCCCGAGGTGCAGGCTCCCGAGGTGCAGGCGGAGGGGTGCTGCTCGTGACCCTGGGCTGGGTGGTGGAGTCGGGGGTTGGTGGCCGCTCCCTAGGAACCGGTGCCCTTACTTGGGTGTAAGGTGAGATCTCTGGATCTTCCTGCTCAAATGGGAGAGTTGCTGGGGTCACAGGCAGTTGAGACTTGTCGGGCAGAGCAGAGCGTTTCCCTGATGTATTTCCTGCTTTCAATACTTGGCCCCTGAGCCAGGGAGGCGGGTGTTGGACTAACCGAAGCCAAGTATCTATGTAGGGGAACTGAAACGGGTGCCTTGCGTCTCCACCAAGAGCAAACCACACTTTCTGCACCACAGCCTCATCTAGACTGCCCTCTGGAGGCCATCCTACTCCAAAGGTGGGCCACACCAGTTCACACAAACGTCTCAGCTGCTTTGGGGACATAGTTATTCCATAACTCCCTGTGAACCCCTTTTTAAAATTCTTCAGCATAGTCCCTAGTGGGGTCGGTTTCCCCTGCTTATTTCCCATAATCCTCTCTCAGACAAAACGACGGGAGGGGGCAACAGGAAGTGGGGGAAGGGCAAAGGCAAAAGGGAGGTCGCCCAAGCGCTTCGTTTGTCACCAGCTGGTTTCCTCGTGGGGATCTTTCAGGCCCCTCTTTGCGCTGACGGGCCAGTGATCCTCTCTTATTCAGCAGTGCTCCGGGACTCCACACTCGCCGGGCGCCTGGGGGAGGGATCCTCTTAGTCTCCAGTCACTCTCACACCCTACTTCCCGCCCTAGGCAGCCTCGGCTTCCCACTTTCCAGGAGATTAGTCTCCCCTTCTGCCCCTTTTACTCCCCGGGAAGTCCTACCCTGATTCAGACGCCTTCACATGCCGCTTCTTCCCAGTGTTGGGGTCTTTCTCACGTCCACCCGAGGAGCCCACACAGGAGGGCGAACAGACTTATCGTCCCTGGGTCTCCGGAGGGTTGGTGGCAAACAGCAGGCGATCTGAATCTTGTTTTCTTACTGCAAGTGGTCTAGTTTCAGGCCAATGCACCAGAAAAGTTGCAGGAAGATGCCCAAATGGGGGGAAAACCCGCCACAAGACCAGTTGTGTTAGGGGAAAAGATCCTTGGAGGTAATGACTATTGTCTTAAGAACGGAACTCCCATCAGCCTTTACCTTTTAAAGGATTTACTCAGAATTGAATGGAGGGCACTCACGGAGTCACCTGCCCATTGGCGGTTTCTGGTTGAGCGGATCTTACAAAAACAGGAAATGTAAATTTCTTTGTGTAACTTGAGCTGCGAGTTCCAAAGGCGGGAATCCAGAAACCCTCCGATGCTTCTCAACTTTATCTGGACTCTAGGCCTCCAGGTCTCGTGGACTCCAGCATGCCTCCCTCGCCTTCTCTGCAGTCTCTCCCTGGTCTCTTGGGAGCAGTAGGGTGCCCTGAGTCTCACAGTCCTGCTTCTCTGTGCCGGGCTCAAATGACTCTCTCCCGCCCTTCTCATCCAAACTTTGGCCGGCCGCCGGGCGACACCACGAGTTATTTCCCTGCTATTTCCCCGGCCTGGAGTTTTTGGCCCTTGCACAATTGGTTTCCTCTTGGAGTCTGGGAGGAGCGGAGCGGAGCCGGCTGGGTACGAACCGGGACCAACGGGGCAGCGTGGGCTGGGGGTGCTTGCTGGGGAGAAGGTTAGGGGACAACTAGACGGTCCGGAGGGCGAGTGCCCCGAAGAAAGCTTGGACTGTGCAGCCCCGGAACCAGGAGGGGGTGAGTCTGTGAAGGAGGGAGAAAAAGAATGGGGAAAGGAGAGGACTGTGGGAAAGGCTGGGCACTCGCCGGGGTGATGGGGGAGGGGAGGCTGCGCATGCTGGGTTCCCGGGTCTGGGCTCACCCTCCCCGCGCCTCCTCTCCCCCTGCGGTCGCTCAATCTCAGGGGGAAGGGGGGGAGGGCGACGCAGCTGGTCCCGGGATTCTAGGTCCCGACTGCAGTCCTGCTTCGCCCACAGACTGCGAGAGAACCCCGGCGTCCGGGCTCCCCGTGGCGGTGTCATGAGGCTGCTCCTGGGCCTGCTGCTCCTGGGCCTAGCGGCCTGTTCCCCCCCGCTGGATGACAACAAGATCCCCAGCCTGTGCCCGGGTCACCCCGGCCTTCCAGGCACGCCAGGTCACCACGGCAGCCAGGGCCTGCCTGGCCGCGACGGTCGTGACGGCCGGGATGGCGCACCCGGAGCTCCTGGCGAGAAAGGCGAGGGCGGGATGCCAGGTGAGAAGGTGCCTTGGTTGCATTGCTGGGGGGTTCGATTCCGCCCCGCCACGGCTCGCGGGTGCTGTCCGCCCTGCGGGCTTCCGGGAGCCCGCCAGGGGGCGTTGCCGGGCTCTGTTCTGTGAGCCCACCCAACTCCCTGGACTTCCCTTGGCCGCCGATCAGCCCCAGCCCTGTGGGTGGGCGGGCGGGGAGGGGGCGAGGAGAGGGGTGGTGCACCCAAGCTCGGAGCTCAGAGGCGTCGGTCGGGGGAGCGGCCACTGCTGGCTGACTCGGCCGCTGCACTCACCTAATTCACCCTTTCCCACCCTCGCAGGACTGCCGGGGCCCCGCGGGGAACCCGGGCCTCGAGGCGAGGCGGGGCCAGTGGGGGCGGCAGGCCCGGCGGGGGAGTGCGCGGTACCTCCGCGTTCCGCCTTCAGCGCCAAGCGCTCCGAGAGCCGGATGCCCCCGATGTCCGACTCTCCCCTGCCCTTCGATCGCGTGCTGGTGAATGAGCAGGGCCATTACGACGCGACCACCGGCAAGTTCACCTGTCAAGTCCCAGGGGTTTACTACTTTGCGGTCCACGCCACTGTCTATCGGGCCAGCCTGCAGTTCGACTTGGTGAAGAATGGCGAATCCATTGCCTCTTTCTTCCAGTTTTTTGGAGGGTGGCCAAAGCCAGCCTCTCTCTCGGGGGGCGCCATGGTGAGGCTGGAGCCCGAGGACCAGGTGTGGGTGCAGGTGGGCGTGGGTGACTACATTGGCATCTATGCCAGCATCAAAACAGATAGTACTTTCTCTGGATTCCTGGTGTACTCTGACTGGCACAACTCCCCCGTCTTTGCCTGACGTCGACTAGACAGTAACCCCGGGGAAGAGAGGGTAACCCCGGGGAAGAGAGGGTGGCATTGACAACCACATCTTCCAGGCGGGCTGGCCCCCTGGAATATTGTGAATGAGAAAGGCAGTTGACTGGGGGCCTCTCAGGTCACCGAAAGGAATGGGAAAAGAGGCTGTATGGGATCTGGGCTGGCCGCATAGGGCAGCGGCTGGATTCCTGCCCTAGACCAAAGATTGTGCTGTGCCAGCAATTGTGGATGCCCAGCTAGCCCAGGAATACTGGACGGGGTGCTATCCTTCCAGTCCCCTGCTTCTCAGGTTCCTCTGCATCCCTCCAACTCCCAGGGCCGGTCTTTCCCCTCAAATTATTCAATAAATCTTCAAAATAGTCCTATTTGGCTTAAGACTCTTTTCTTTAGTGGTTCGGCAGGTCAGAGGGTGAGAGGGTGGATCTTGAGTGAAATGCAATTACTGGGCAGGAGCTAGGAGAACCAGGACCTGGTGGGTGCAAGAGTGCCTGGGTTTGCAGAGGGGAATGGGGATGCCCTCCTGGTGCTCCGTCCACAACAGAAAAAAGAGCATCCAACAAAGATGTGTGAACCTGATAGGACTGCCACCACCATGCATATTTCTGCCGCAGTCCAGCAAAAAACGCCCCGCGTTCTCATTCATGCTCGGTTGTTTGCGGTGCCTGATCTCTGAAAAGCGAGTCTAGAGACGAGCGGTATCGAGATTTCTGCAGAGTAGTTTCGCGACGGCCACCAGGGGGCGCGCCAGCTCCAGAATGCAGCCACGGCGCCGAGCAGCAGCTGCAGCGCTTGACAAATGGGGCGGTCTGTGGGAGGAAGGGTACTCTGTCGGCCGATGGAATTCCAGGTGGGGGTGGAAGAAAAGGGAGTCCTTTGCTCCCAGCTTCAGAAGTTTATCTTCTCTCATAAAATGTTTATCCCTACATTAAACACAGACTGGAAGGAGCCAAACACACACCACCACCCCCCCTTGCTAGGTTCCTCTTCACATAATTATTCCCATCTCAACAGAGACAAGAAATAGACCCACACCTTCCCTTGGGCCCCTCAGCTCAGAGGTGGATGTGGATCTCTGTCCCTGCTGTGCTGGGCATGGCAAGGCATCCCTCATGGTTAGAACTCACCCAGGCCCCACCCCCAGTTCAGTAACTAAAACCAGAGTTTACCAGTCCTTCAATCTGGTTAGCCTCTCAACCAAAAGAAAGTGGACAGGCTTAACGAAGTTTCTTCCTCATCTACTTTACCCCACTCAAGCCTCACACTCAACCGCAGATTCCAGAAAGCCATTCCAGGCTTTCTGTCGCAGGAGGCAACATGCACTTTTGAAGAGTACCCCTTCTCCCCCATCCCTCAGCCCCTACCCCAATTCTTATATGAGAACAAGATCGAATATCAGAAAAACTTGAATCGGGCCTCCAGAGCCTTAGGATTCAATCAATGCCTTGCTTTACACCAGGGAGTCCCACTTTCTCTGGCCCATCTCAGCCCCAAACTCCAGAGACACATAGACTACCTCCTGCTAATCCAGACTCAGAGAAAAATTGCAGGAAGCAGGATTCCTAAATTCATGAAAAGCTGAGAAGCCTGGCTCAGTCAAGTCCACCAAACTGAAAACCAAATCCATTGTTATGTGGATTCACAGCGACCCCATGTGTTACAGAACAGAACTGCTCCACAAGGTTTTCGTGTCTGATCCTCAGGGAGCTCTGGTGTCCTAGTGGCAAGGAGTGGTGCTGTCAACCCAAAGGAATGTGGTTGGCATCCACCAGTTCTTCGAGATCAAGCTCTTCGGTGTGGTTTACAGGCTCAGAAAACCCGCTGGTGTTTTGACCCTGGAGAGTCAGTTCCAACTCAATGGTACCTAACAATCTTCACAGAATCAGATTGCCAGCTCTAATTTCCAATAGCACTGCTGAGTAAATTCAAACTACCAACTTTTTTCTTCTCAAAGCACCAACTCTTGTATTAGTAATTGACCATGAACTATTTGCACCCATCAGGAGCCTGAGAAAACTCACATTCCATTACAAAAACAAACATCACCCCAAAACTCCCCTTGGAAGTCCAAATCATGGTGATCCTCTGGACAGAGTGAAACTGCATCCTTAGTATTAAGGCTGTGACTTTCCCAAAGCAGATCCCCAGGCCTTTATTCTGGAGTGTCATTTAGTGTCAAGTGATAAAGCACATGATCCTCCCAATCATGGCAAAAACGCAGGTAGAGAAGGCTTTCCAAGTCTCATGTGAAAGAACATGTACGTACAGGAGAGAGAAAATTAAGGCAGCCTCGCCTGGCAAGGGCTCTCCTCATGGTATGGCGACCAGAAAACCAGTTCTCCCTAAATCAACTCTGACTTAAGTCAGTCAGAGAACTGGGTTCCATGAGATTTTCTACAGCTGATTACTTTCCTTCAGAAGTGGACTGTCAGGCCTTTCTTAGGAGGTGCTTCTGGATGAACTCGAACTCCCCATCTTTCAGTTAATAAATGCACATGTCAGCTGTCCTTATCACAGCATGGTATCTCTTTATCCCTTCCCCAAGCCCCATTTTTAGCCCACTCCTCACCACGACCACACTTCTGCCTCCCACAAGACCCTGCTGCATCAGTCACTCTGGCCAACAGGCCACCCTTGAGGGACACACATAGGCTGTCAGAACTATCAACAGAACTTTATTCACTGAAAGTGGGTCAGATAAATACCTCAGGGAGTTGTGTGGCCCTGGGCTTGGGCTCCCTGTGTTTGGATCCTAGTGAAATGTGCCGTCTGCACTCTCCAGTGCGAGGCAGACAGACAAGGGGAATGTAATTTTTTTTCCTGTGTGTTGTAGGAGTTAAAAAGGTACAAGTAGAAATCTAGTTATCCCTTCTGGGGCTCCCGGTGGACCCAGGATAGAAGAAGGTCTGTGGTCCCAAAGCTAGGTGTAGATATAGCCTCCCACAACTCCAGAAATGAACTCCTGGTCCCACTCTTGGACCTAGTCAGGAGAGCCTCAGAAGACCATGACAGGCCTAACTGGTAGGTAGCTCTACGGGCACCTGAGACACTGTGCCCAAGCCTGCCAGACAAAAGGGCTTTGGCTGAAAGCAAAAGTTCAAGATCCCTCCAAGGCCTTTGAGTTGACAAAACAGCTGGACGACACTGATGTGGTTGCAAAGCTGGGGAGAAATTGAGGAGGGAACAGGAAAAGGCCTGCAAATCCCCAACAGAAAAATCAGGGAGGACAGCTCCAGTGGCTGGCATCTGAGTGGACCCTGGCCAGGATGGAGGACTGTCCACAGGACCCTTGCATAGTGACACACACCCACCAACCATCCTCAGCTTCACAGGGAATGGAGAAGCTGGTTGCCATGCCTCATGGCACACCCAGTCCACAGCCTTCCAGAATAGTCCATCATGAAGTCCCAGATGTATGGCCTGGAAGTTTGGTCCAATAGCCCAGGGAGCTAGGAGACCAGACAGGGACCAGAGATGAGGCAGTGCTGCCGCTAAGACACAGGTGCCTGCACAATGTGGAGGGAGGGAAAGTGGGCAGTGTGCTTCAGAGGTAGACATTGAGGGTCTGCAGGATGCCTCTGCGGCACAGCGGGCAGTTGCGGTGGTAGACAGGGTGGCGCATCAGGATTTCTGTACAGGCCTGGCATAGGCAGAGATGGCGGCAGGGCAGAAGCAATACAGTCTTGCTTTGGTCCTGGCAGATGACGCATTTCTTCCGCTCCTCCTGCTCCTTCAACAACTTCCACGGGTCCTGTCCAGCTGCAGGCTCCTCTTCCTCATTAAGCCTCTCCCGGCCTCGGGTAGATGGCACTCTGACCTCCTCTTCCTCTGGCCCTGATGCAGGCCTGGCTTCAGGTGTCATTTCCTGGCCCCAGGGTCTGGCCAAGGGCACCCTCCTAGGACCACCCTGGGGGCCTCCGGGGGCCCCTACACGGCTAGGCCAGCTCACCAGCTGCATGCTCCAGCTCCAGACTCGGCGCCAGTCCTCCAGGCCCATCACCAGGCGAGACAGGCGCACAACATCCTCTCGAAGCCGGTGGTAGGATGGCCAGGCCTGGAGCTGACTGAGAGCTCGGGTAGCCAGCCGCAGGATGAGGTCTGGGTGCATCACAGTCACAGTCACAGCCAGCACACAAGTCAGCAGCACCAGGCCAGTGAGGTTGACAAACACAAAGCTGGCCAGCAGGCGGACAGTTGAGGCCAGCAGCTCCAGCACTAGTTGGCAGGGGGTCCAGAGGAGAATAGCCATGGCCACAGCGCTGCTAGAGATGTGGGCAAAGAAGGCTGCCACCACATCCGTCAGCCTCCAGAGAGGCCCCATAACTGCATCCCACAGGGCCAGCACCAGGGAGAAGAGGTTCTGGGTGCCAATGAGACAGATGTTGACTAGGCTGTTGATCACATAAGCCACCAGGCTCATGGCAATAGTACAGATGTCACAGGCCTGGCGCAGCAGAGCATGGCCACTGGCGATCACATTGAGGACTCCTCGGTGCAGGATCTCCCGACTCCGCAGGGCCCCATGGGAGGCCAGGTGCCCAAGGAGCTTTAGGCTCTCCAGACCAGAGCAGCAGCTGTAGAGCAGGGTACACAAGGCCTGCAAGCCGCCGAAGGTGAACCGGACCAAGGCTTCGATCAAGGCCAGCAGGGAAAACAGAACTCCACGGCCCAAGTGCAGAAGACTGGTCAGCACGGTGTGTGGCAGGTTGTAGATGAAGGCCAGGAGCCAGGCCAGGGAAGCCAGAAGGGAGGACACCAGCAGGAAGTTGAGGTCCAACACCAAGGTCAGCACGTCCAGTACCAGGCCCACCCCGTGCACTACCAAGTGCACAGCCTCCATGACAGGGCCCTGCCGGTCAGTCCAGGAGGCAGGCCGGCTCTCAGTCGGGGGCGGGGCCGAGGCTGTCAATGTTTTGAGGAGGAGGGTTTAACTGGGGAGGGAAATGAGCACTTTCCAACCCAGAGAGAATTAAGAATCTGAGGACGAAATGAGTTAGAGAAAATGATGTCTTAGCAGCAGAGCGCAGGTGCCTGCCCAAGTGTCCTGGTTTAGAAGACGGGATGCTTGAAGAAGAGGCCAAACATCACTGGACGGAAAGCCCTGGCTGTAGAAGAGACCTCGGCGTTGGAGCCGCGGCGGCTTACCACGGCCAGACAACTGGTCACACCGGGAGACTGGGAACGGTAGGGAGCGTGCGGGGAAGGACAGGGCCGGGGCCGGGTGGGGCGGCGCGGGCTGGGCGCGGCTCGCGGTCCAGCTACACAGGTGCCCCTGTCCCCGCCCGGCCCCCGTCCTCGGGCTTCCGGAGCTCCGCGCCAAAAAGGAGCGGCGGGAAGAGACTCAGCCTCGGCAACGCTCAAGTGCAGCCGCTACTCCTCTGGGCGCCGCCATCTTGTGTGCGAGGGGGCGGCAAGAAGGGAGGGACGACGAATTCCGACCAATCGGTGCGGACCAGCGCCTGGGAACGTGGCGCACTCACTGGTCTGTTTAAACAGCGCCCAAACATATTTACTTTCCAGAGGAGCGGGTAGAGCGTATAGCGGAAAGGTCCGCCCCCTTCAGGCTGTGATTGGTCCTCTGGCGGACAGAGGCGGAAGATGTCCTCCTAGTCCCGCCCCCTGGGAGAGCTGAATTTTGTGGTGTAGATTTGAATTCATAACTAATCTGTATCATAGCATAATCTGCCTCACAGGGTTTTTTTAAATTGTAATCTTTGCAGAAGCAGTTTACTAAGTCTTTCTTTCACAGAGCAGCTGGGCGAGCATGAACCACTAACATTTGGATTGGCAATCTAGCGCCCCACCGTTACTCCATCACCATTTCTTTTTTTTTTTTCCTCCTGGTCCTAGGGTGACCCGATTTTTTGGTTTGTTTGGCTTTTTGGCTGTGTTTTCCATTACCAGGATTGGACTGGGCTCTGGGACTGCAACTCCCTCTGAAGCCACTTCAAACCCACTACCTGGTCTTTAGCTCTTTTTAATGCAGTCATTTATTCCATCATTTGTACGCTCTTGAGAATACGAAAATGTTTAACTGACTGATCTCAAACAGTTCACAAGGGAAACCCTTAAATAAACAGATGGTTAGAAAATATTCCTTAGCTGCTTTTTTCCCCTCAAGCTGCCTGCGTTGGGCTTTCTCAGCATCCTCAGCGGGTAACTTCATTGCTTTTGGTTAAAGAGATCCTCAGTCTGGACATAGCTCCCCTTTCTACCCAATTTTACCATGAATGCTATGGAGTTCTGGTGGCCTAATGGCAAGAAGCTGTGCTGCAATCCGGAATGCACACGGTTTGGAGCCACTAGCTCCTCTGCGGATGGACATTCTCCCCTGCAATTTAACTGCCTCTGAAAACCTGCTGGAGGGTCAACTAAGGGTCAGTTCTAACTCCATGGTAAACAACAGGAGCCTCCAGGTTACTTTGAAAGTCTAATTTTCTTTAATAATCAAAATATGTTTGAAACTCATCTCGCATAACATCAGGAAGTGTGGTGTTCTTTATGAAAGTCCCTGGGTAGTGCTGCAATTTTCTCAGATCAACTACTCTACCCACACGGTGCTACAAAAGAGTACCGTGATGGTGTGCCGCTTAAAGATTACAACCAAGAAAATTCTGTGGAGCAGTACTACTGCAGAGTCACAAAGATTCAGAATTGACTGGGGTGGTTCGGGAAGGAAGGGACTAAGATTTTTTGCTTTGGGTTTTTAGGGTTTGGGGGTTGGTTTTTGTTTTGTTTTGTTTGAGTTTTTGTTGTTTGGTTTGGTTTTGGTGGGGTTTTTTCTCTCTAAGGATACTGGAGGGACTTACCTTTTCCCACTATGCCTCTTGCTTCAATTTCCTATTTGCATTGAATTCTCCATTTCCTCAGTGGCCCTGATTCCTAAAACTGTCTGAACATGCTGCCTGCATCTTCCCTTCCCCAAAGTACCGGTAATACAAAGCTGAGATGCGCAGCAAGCCTTTACCGAGGTGGTGGGATCACAAGAGGAATTACATTATAGTGCAGAGCCAGGGACAACCTAAATATTTAGATTACAGTTTCTAAAAATGCACTTCTCACCCCCACCCCCACCACATCCCTGTCCGGCCATAATTTAACACTATATTCTCATGCTCATTCTCTTCCTTTTGAGATTTCCTCTTTCCATTCTGTAGCTGTCAGACTGCAGGTCTCCAATTTTTGTTACATGATTTTAGACATATATTTCCACCCTGGCCACGCTGTAGGTACAAAATGCTAATCTTTATAAGCAAAAGAAAGTGACATGAAGTTTTGACAATTCTCTGTCCAGACCATGGATTGTGGGGTGATTGTTGCTGATGTTTTTTTTTCTCACTGTCATCCTCTCTCTCATTTCAAATATTGGAGAATGCATCCCACCTTTTTCTTAAGATCCCTGACCTGACTACTCTTTCCTGTTTTCTTTAGCAACCTTACCTGTCCAGTGGTCATTAGCTTGTTCTTCATGGGTTTTCCTGCAGTGTTTGACATGTAGCTGACCACTTCCACTCTTGGCCTTGGGGAAATCTCTTGCGGTTGTTAGTTACTGTTGATTGAGTAGTTTCCACCTCAAGGCAACTCCATGTGTGCAGAGTGAAACTGCCCCTTGGCAGTTCCAAGGCTGTGTTGGGGAGTGTTGGGAAGGAGGAGGTAGCCCCTGTCTTGGGCAGATCGCCTAGCTCTGGAAAAGTGCAAGCCTATCTGGCCCATATCAACCCTTAATATGGAATAAAGCTCTCCTGTGTTTGGCTGTGCTGGCTGAGAAAGCTTACCACCCAGGAAGATGGCTGCCACGTCCTTTGAGCTGAGAGTGGTCTGTACTGGGCTGAGGCTCTCCTTTCCAATCCTCATACTCCACATCTACAAATCCACCCCATCCTGTCTTCCTGTCTACTCACCTGTATATAAGCACTGTAATCCCCAATAAAGTTGAGTAGGCTCTCTGCAGTGCTCCCAGAGTGGTGTGTCTCCGCCGTGCTTACCCCTGTCAGGGTGTTGCTGCTCCATCCAGCAAATGGACAGCAACAAGGCTGTATGATCTTTTTAAAGCAGATAGCTGAATCAGTCTTCCAAGATATGTGCCTCTTGTTGTTAGGAACCTTCAAGTTGCTTCTGATTCATAAGGACCCATAAACAACAGACTGAAACTTTTCTCAACTCTGCACCATCCTCGAAATCTCTGCTGTGCTCAAGCCCATTGTTACAGTCATTTTGTCAAATCATCTGGTTGAGGAGCTTCTCCTTCACTGACCCTTCACTTTTCCAAGCATGAAGTCTGCCTCCAAGGACTGACCCCTCCTAGCAACATATCCAGATTATGTGAGATGCAGTCTCACCAACCTTGCCTCAAAGCAGCACACTGGCTACACTTAGACAGATTTCTTTGTCTCCTTGACAGTCTAATTCAGTACTTTTCCCAGCACCACCATTCAAAGTAATCAAGTATTTGTCCTTCTTCATTAATCATTGTCCAATTTTCACATGCATATAAAGCAATTGAAAACATCATGGTTTTGGATTAGGTTAGATTAGGGGTTAGCCTTTAAATTGACACCTTTGCTCTTTGCGTGTCATCAAGTCAGAACTGACTCATAGCTGACCCTGCCTGGAGTGGGTTTTCAGAGGCAGTAAATCCAACAGTAGGAGATTGCCCATCCTTGTCCGGCAGAGCAACTAGTGGATTCAAACCTCGTGCTTTGAGGATTGCAGCATAACTTCTTACTTTTGCATTTTAAAAAAATAGCAGACTTGCACAACACAATGTATCTTTTGATTTCTTGACTTCTGGTTCCCTAGATATTGACTGTGAACCCGAATAAATTATTGGCAACATCAATCTGTTCCCCATTTGTCATGATCTTCGCTAAAAGCAGAGAATACCAGAAGGATATTTAGTTGTCTTTTATTGATTATGCAAAGGCACTCAACTGTGTAGATTATAATATATTATGGGTAACACTGACAGGAATGAGAATCCAAGATTATTTAATTATGCTCATACACAACCTGTATTGATGAAAGAAGCAGTTACTAAAACAAAGCAATATTGCATGGTTTTAAGTTATAAAGGGGATACATTCAGATTGTTTCCTTTCACCATCTCTATTTGGTTTCTATATTAAGCAAATAATTTGAGAAGCTGCACTATATGAAGAAGAATATGACATCAGGATTGGAGGAAGATTAATTAGCAACTGCATTATGAAGTTTGCTTTCAACACACACCCATGTTTATTGCTGCGTTATTCACTATTGTAAAAAGCAAAAAGATGGAAGCAACCCAAATGCCCAACAACAAACAAATAGAAAAACTATGGTGCGTTCACACTATTGAATATTATATAGCACTGAAAACCAACAAACTCATAAAGCATCACACAACATGGGGGAGACTGGAGAACATTATGCTGAGTGAAATATCTTAGTCACAAAAGGACAAATACTGTATAATACACTGTTATAAAAGAGAACAGACGGGAATGGGGTGAGCAGAGAATGGGAAAAGAGTGCATAGATAACCAAAAAAAAAGTGCATAGATAACAAACAATGTAGTAGAAAAGACAGGGAAGAAGAACTGTCTGAAAGGAATAAATTATTAGGCATTATTTGTATGACAACAATCTGGAACAAGGGATGCATTGCTGGGTGGGCTGAAGGAGAGGAGGAGGTAAGAAAATGTGGAAAAAAAATTTTCCAAAAGTTACCTGGGGGAGGTGGAGGAAAGAATGAATGAAAATTGAACTTTTCTGTAAACTTTTGTTAAAATTACAATAAAATAAAGTTTAAAAACAACAACTTTGCTTTCAGACAATGAAGAAAACATGAAGCACTTACTG